ATAAAGAAAAGGAAAAATATTATTAACAATTATAAAAGTGAACAAAAAGTTATTTAGAAAAAAAAATATGTATTATATAATGCTGATGACACCGTTATCAGGTAGGATGAAATATCGACTACCTTCATCATAATTTTTTTATTTATTATGTTTTAAATATTGGTTTTTTTTATTCGTTAATATTATTTTGAAATTTCAAACCAAATTATTATGATTCTTTTTATCTCCCTAAATATAAATCAAACTAAAACAATAAAATGATTGATTTGAATATTAAATTTATAATTTAAAATTAGACTAAATCCGAACCACAATGACTTAAAAATGAATATTAATAATGATTACTTATATTGCATGAAACTTTATTATAACATTATATACTTACAATGTAATACTTCCTACTATTAAGTATGTATTAACAAATAACTATTACTTTTGCCCATCAAGATATTAAAAAACCCGGTTGAGGAAAATTTAGATAAATCCACTTTTTAACCCACTAAAAAAATATTAGAATCGAATTTCTATGTTCAACTCGATTTTACCGAATCCAGTCATGGAAGGATTACATTATCCGACACATTCTTGAGCGAATGATATCAATTGAATCAAAATTATAAAAAACTCCATCGAATTTCATTTTCGTCCAGACCATTATTCCCTGATCAAAATATTTTAAGTTAATCTTATTAAAGGGTTTTAAACTACCTACTAAACACAAAAAACCTTAAATGGTTTCAGTTATTCTCTCCTTCAAATCGAAATCCTACACTAATTATAGAATTCCCAATAAACTATCAAGTACCAATTTCATATCATTGATTTAAGCTACCAAAAAGAAACAAAAATCATAAAATCAATTTCAAATTAAGTTCCAGATTCATGATCAACACCAAAGTCAAAATTCTTTAGCACAATTCTTAACGACAAGATATTAATCAGCTTAACTCTTAGCGGCCTGCTTGTCTTTTGCCTTCTGGATCTTCAATACCTTTTTCACAATTTTCTGTTCTTCAACAAGGAAAGCCCGAATAATCCTATAACAAGTTTAAATAGTTGTTAAATTTAACTCAACAAAGAAAAATGAAAAACATGCCCAACGATCTTCTAAGCAATATACCTTTCTCTAACAGCTCCACCAGATAAAACACCTCCATAGGCCCGGTTAACTGTCCGGCGGTTCCTAGACAATCTAGACCTCTTGTATTCAGTAGGTCTCAAGTGGGGGATCTGCAGATAAATCAGGATTACAAAATTAAGAGACAAGACCAACAACTTGATTAAACACTTTAAGTAAGGATAATGGGGTTGAGTTACAGTGGAACACTTACGTAAAAGATTAGTGAAAAACAAAGTATAATGTACCAAGATCGAACAAAACTTTCAGTTGATTCTAATAAGCTCCTGGGATTACTTTGGATTACTTGTGAACACAGTTTACCATTTATACGAAACAATTCAACTCAATTTTCTCTCATTATAAAAAGCTTGCACATCAGCACTTATATGACAAGTGCTAAATAAAATTGTGTTCAAATTGCTTCCCCAAGTTATATGAGAGCTTATTGGAATATGAATATAAGCTTAGATAAACCCTCCATAATATTAAGTGTAATGAGATATTCATGGTCATATTAAATCATTTAAACTTACTAGAATAATTCAGATACAATACTTTATAAGCTTTTCCATTAGACTTATTGGGAAAAAAAAGTATGGGAATGTTATAAACCATTTTTGAAAGAGAAACCTTGCTCTTTCAAAGAGACTAACGAAGAAATTAATAAGGTCAGCTAGAAGTAATAAGCTGAGGCAAAAACATTCATTGCGTGACCCTTTTAAATCATTCATATTTTCATTAGCTAAATTTAGTTATTTAAGAATTAATGTCGCCAAAAAACTCTAAAAGCAAAAGAAAATTAAAGCATCCATTCTCCTGAAACCGACAAACAACTCATTTCCATAAGATAACTGATATAAATAATTAAAAACAGCTCAATCCCATTCCCACAACCAATCCCTAATTATCCTATAACCAATTCACACATATGGAAACATACCAGGACCAAAAATGCACAATTTTACAAACAATTAGGCACCCCACCAAATGGGAAAAAATAAAAAATAAAGAACAACCCTTAAATTTTTCGGTTAAACCTATCTAATAGGCCACAACATAAACATGTTTACCCACAGCATACAAAGCATGAGATCTCTCTATGTAGCATATAATTGGAATTCTTCACAATGAATTACAGTTCCTTACTCTTCGAAGAGCATACGAAAAAAAACGTAAATAGCACACACTACATACCCCTTGGATCCTCTTCCCTGTGACAGGACACTTGGGTCCACTAGCCCTCTTCTTAGTGCTCTGGTACACCAACTTCCCACCTGATGCATACCCATGTGTTAAAACACCAAACAGCAATTGCAAAACATAATTTTGACAACAAATTGAGGAACACAATTGAGATAAGAACAAAATACACAGATTGGAAAAAAGATCGCAAAGAGAAAATAATAAGAGAAAACACTTACCAGGTGTCTTAACAATCCGGTGCTGATTTGATTTGGTGGCATAGCTATGGCGCTTGCGATAAGTGAGCCTCTGCACCATTTTTGTAAGTAATGGAGTTAAACCTAGAGGACACAAACTAGGGTAGCAAAGTATGGGTAGATGTTTTATAAAGGAGGCTTCTCTCAAACCCTACATCTAATTCGTTGCCTTTATGGGTTTCTATCAAACTAAGCCCAGTCCAAAACAATATTAGAAAGAAAATGTTTGGCCCAAGTTTTAGGCAATTCACGTGTAATATTTTGTTACATGATATTATTTCTAAGAAAATAGTTATTTTAAGGAGTTTTCTTTAAAATATATTCAAATTTTAAAATATAAATTAAATTTGAGGATGAGAAAATATGATTTTAAACCTTTTAATGGGAATTTTATAAAGTCATGACAATAAAGTATGAAACAGAAGTTCAATCGAATAATTTTTCATTATGAAAAATGAGAATGAAGAACAATTGTATAATGGTAATTGAAGAAAAACTTTTGGAGATCACTAATTGAAAATGAGAAGAAATTAATAAAAATGGTATCGTGAATTTATACTTAATGTAGATGCAGTTTTATTCAATGTCATAAAAAATACTACAACGAAGGAGATTTTGGATACTCTTATCAAATTGTATGAAGATAAGTCACTTCGCATAAGAATATTCTTGAAGAGAAAACTCTATATTTTTTGAATGTGTGGTCCACATTAGTGACAAACCACGTAATAATTTGAAAATGTTATTTGTCTAACTTGTAGTGGCAAATTTTAACATAGTTGAAAATGAACATGGAGAGCTTCTACGGTAGAGTTTACCCGATTCGTATGATTAATTCATCAACAACATGAAAAATAACAATATTAATGGGTACCTATACATAGAGGATATTGTCGAAGTTATTTTTGAAAAAAAAATCTAGGCAGAAGAACAAAGTAGATATAATGGAAAGTTCAAAGCAAGCAAAATCTTTGGTGATAATGTGACGTAGATCAATAAAATGTGGATCTAGTGAAAGTTAGACTCATGATAGATCGACGTCTCAAAGTAAGAAGCATCTTAAATGCTACCATTGTGGCAAGAAGATACATTCAAGAAAGACTATTGACACTAAAAGATTGGAGGAAAGAACTTTGAAGCATCAACTACACAGGATTGTGTTGCAAGTACCTTGAAGGATGGAGATGTAGTGGTGAACAAAGCAATAATTAACTTTTGTTGAATATAGTGAAAAACTATATTTGGGATTAATCTCCTTTGTGTTAAATACACACATAGGGTTCTCTATTTATAATAGAAGAAATATGGGCTAAGCCCAAAATACAAATAAGAAATAGTAACAAACTAACTAAAAGATAAAAGATAAATATAAAATAAAGATAATATATCTAACACTCCCCCTCAAGCTGGTGCATACAAATTGTATGTACCAAGCTTGTTACTAATATAATCCAAAAAGACTTAATGAAAATATCTATTTCTGCACTCGAGAGACATCAAATTGCTAATGATTTGCAAGACGACATAGAAGACGAAATACCAACCCCAAAGACTCCCTTGAGCAACAAATCTGGGAGGTTGCTCCATGTAAATCTCTTCTTGCAAATCGCCCTTGAGGAATGCCATCAGTGGATAAAGAGGTAATTGTTGGAGATGACAGAAGAGACATATATCGATGGGTCAAAGAGAGGACAAAACAATCTTTTCCATGGTAAAACACACATAGGGATTAATCTCCCTTGTTGAATATAATGAAAAACTATATTTGGGATTAATCTCCCTTGTGTTAAATACACACATAGGGTTCTCTATTTATAATAGAAGAAATATGGACGAAGCCCAAAATACAAATAAGAAATAATAACAAACTAACTAAAAGATAAAAGATAAAGATAAAAGATAAAAGATAAATATAAAATAAAAATAATATATCTAACAACTTTAATGGTGGAAGATAACTACGTACAACTTGACACTTGACCTCAAACTAGGATTGGTGTTACACTTATGAACTTGTCTCAGGTGGCACTTGACCTCAAACTAGGATTGGCAATCAATTAACACTTTTGGCTATTTTATTGAAGAAATTTGTGTTGCTATATTGCATTTTTTTTCGACACCTTTTGGAAAGTAAGATACACAAAGCATAGTAAAAGAAAGAGCTTAATTTGCAAAGTTTGTATTTACCTCATCTTTCATTTTTGTAAAGTCATGGTTTGTCTATCATCTTTCTTCTTTTAGTTCGTTTTCTTTTCCTTAGGACTTCAACCTTAGTTATTGATATAATTATAACATAAGAAAAATCTAAAAAAGATGTTTGAATAGAGTTTCAAAATTGTTTGAAAAATAATGTTTAATATCATTTGCATTTAAGACAAGATCATTTAAGCAATGATGGGCAACATCAACACATGCCCCTACAACTTTTGATAAAATGGAGGAAAAGGGTTAGTTTTCTTCTTGTTTTAGTTTGTACTCTATTTCGAATGCACCATATTGAAGAAATAGATTCCATTCATTGTATCAATGTTAAAGTTTCTATTGTACATATATGAAACATGCCAAATAGACTAGTTATTGATATGAAAGATTGCATGTGCTATTTTTTCCTTTATAAAAATACATCTTTATTTTTATTAGTAATGCACTTATGTATTGATATATCTTAGTGTGTGCTAGAATGTGAATTATATACATAAACCCTTTTTCTACAATATTTTGTAGATAAAACGGTAAAGCTTTTCGTACAATTTTTTTGTGAACAAAACTACAAACCCTTCTTGTACAATTTTTTTCTTACAAGAATTACATACCTTCTAATGACATACAATTACCAAGTCTCCTATACACCCTAGAGACTTATTAAATTATGGTGATAACTCTAAAAACAACTCCTTATTTTTAGAATACTTTTCGGTTGCTTTTTTTCTTCATATTACTTGAGATGAAATTTTGGTGAATATCTACTGAGAACCAAGGATTGTCTTCCCATCCAATTTAGATTTCATATAAACAACATCTTCTAGTTTGTCATTATCATCCTCTTGGGACATGGTTTGTGTAACATCCCAAAAATACAGTAATAAATCATATAATAGAAATAATTACATTTAATAATATATCAATTCAGTCTTACACAAATCAATGTACGCCTAAGGCCGAAAGGCCTTACATAAGCTTTCAAATTAAACTGTACAAGATAAGAGAAAACATGACCGAACGGTTTACAAAAGATCCTACCGAACGGTCAGATAAAATCAAAAGAAAGGAGGTGACCGAACGATCACCTCACAATAAGACTACTATCTACTAACCGAACGTTCCTACTGCTCGGTCTTCACTTCCACCTCTATCAAATTTTTTTCTTCTAGCGCATCTTCCAACAACGCGTCTCCTTTTGCTCACATCCACCCGGATGATCATTACAACGACAAGACGAACGTACAAGACGAGACAACACAAGGAAAACACAGGGTAAGCTTATGTAATTTAATTCAAGTAATAATATACATTTCTCATATTCAAACACATCGAATGCATTTCAACATACATTTCAAGCAAGACCTACTACTAGACTAACTGTCCAGACGGTATGAATTCTGTGTAGCTACGACGTTCGTGCACCCGGGTGATGTAGTAACTGGAATACTCTCATCAGCTGCCACCCGAGGTTAGTCCTATCTGTCCAAAGTACCCCTAAGGACTAGAACATCCTGTCGTTCCCACACATGACCTACCCTCCTCTACGTGAGGACGAGTACTCACGGAACATCAGGATGAACCGCCAGCTAAGCATTACCACATTCATACTTTACAATTTCAATATTCATTCATGAGTTGTTCCTCCCCGAAACGCTCGTTCAAAATTCACAACATTTCATTCATCTCATATACTCTTCATTTTTCATTATCCATCATGTTAATTTCATCTTTGTCACCAATTCTAAGAACATCAAATACCGAACGTTCAGTCCTCACTCTGAACAAGGATGAACACTAGGAACGAGACAGAGAAGTCTCCCGTTCCATAATAGAATAAGACCGAGAGGGTTACTAAAGGATTACGAAAAGAAACCGAAGTCAACTGCACATTGCAAGAATGACTAAAACAGACGTTACTTACAAAGTGAGTCAATTAGATGAACTGACCCTTGAGAGTTCTAACCGAACGCTGAAAAGGCCTCGCCAAGTGTTACGACTCTAGGCTGGAACCAATCAATACAGACACTTCAAGACATTTCAGTAATAATACTTAGAAGAATTTACATGAAGGAATCAAACGCTGATAAATACTTAGTTTATTTGAATTTACATCAAAAATCCGAATGCCAGTCAATAACCGAGCACGGTAGAGAAGAAAGTTCTTATTGAAGTTGGACGAACGTCATTTTCGTAAAGATAGATTATAAAAGAGACGAGTACGAACGCTTAGTGTAAGACCGAGCGCTAATCCGTACGAGCATTTGGGGTGAAACCAAACACTTGCCTAGAACGAACACTTGGTATAAGGCCAAGCGTTATTAAGCTTATAGAAAATGGGTTTGATAAATATAGTCATATACTATTTGAGTGTGGTTTACGAATAATCAAGATATACAAATACATATATTTACCACATTCAGGTTCATCACCGAATACTCAGATGCAACTACGCTTGGCCGAACGCTCAAGCACAGTACTATCACAAGAAGACGCTCGTCCTCAACTAGAATTCTTTCCAAATGAAAGAATTCAATTTCAAACAAGTCTACTAGAAACACCGAACGGTCAAAGACCGTTCAATGACGAACGTACATTATCATAGGAAAATTTCATATTCAGGACTCATTTATCTTCAACTCATTTCTCATTACATAATTTCATAACTTTATAAAATTCATATCATAATCAATTTGCATACTTCTTACACTCCATATCATACTAATAAATCATATTCTACATAAACAATCATATCAACATTCATACAATCCAAACATATCAACCATCATGCATAATATTCATTCAGTCAAATAACAGACGTTCATACAGTACAACAACATATAAATTAAATTAAATAAGCTTTCCTTACCTGGATACGTGATTGAACGTCCTAAGGGTAGGTTTTGGTTCGTCCGACTACAATCTTTCTACCCTCAACGATCAATAACTCTTCAAACTAAACCAAACAACATGAAACCAAAAATAACTTAGACTACACGCCCGCATGCAACCAGGACTTGGTTTGCATGTAACAGAAGACGAACGACTAAGGACAAATACACTTACCCGATCAAATCTTGAAACTTGGTCGGTTCAAGATGAAGCTTGGAACGCCGGGAACGCTTCTACGGTCTCTGAATGATGATCGGAGAAGAGAAAGGGTGAGTTTCCTTAGAGAGAAGATAGGGTTTCTAGTGAGAAGGAGGAGAAAATGAAAATATCAGAGTTTGGGAAGAAGATGCATGCAGAGTGAGGGAAACGGGAATTTCAGAAAATCAGATTTTGCTTCTCTCTCGTTAAAACGAACGTCCGCTCACTCGCTGACACCTGCCTTCTACTATCTGATTTTCGAATCCTCGTTGCTTGACACCTGGCGTCCGTTCAGAGGAGTTTTTAAATGCGTTTTAAATGAGTCTGACAGGAAGGGTTTTGGGTGCGTTTAACGAGGCCTGACAATTTGTTATGCTCCGAACTCTTCTTGAAAACGCTTGCAAGAACATTTTTGATTTGCAAGTTCATGTCCACAAGGCGTAGATGATAACAATGTAGGTTCATCATCAGCCTGTGTGCTTCCTTTTCTTTTCACACTGTGACATAGGTGCACTGCAATCATAAACTAAAACGAGATGAACACCATAGAATGCGATTAAAAAATATAGAAATAACTGTATATACTTATTAAATGATGTCCTTATCCTTCTCAGAATTTTTTACAAGATAAAGACATATTTTAAAAAATATTACGAAAATAAACATATTATGAATAATTAAGATCGATGAATAACTCGTCTAAGATTGTAATGACTTTATTTGAAGAAGTCGTACACTCTCAATACAAATTTAAAATATTTTTATTTATATTTCTTTTTAAATAAAAATCGTGAGGAGTAAATAAAAATCTTCTTGGAGGAAACGACTTTAAGTATAAAAATTATAATAAGGATAGACTGGTTTCAATTTAATAGTTTTGGAATTAGAAGCGGTGTGAAAGTTAAACAACTCAATTCAAAAGTCGTGATAAATGTACACGACTTCCAATTAAATGTTTTTTAATTAGTAGTCATAAAGAAGAGATACAACTTCAATACCTCTTCATCTTTCATCTATATTTATTTTATAATTTTACAAAATTTAATTTCTTTCTTAAAAAAAAAGTATTTTTACTTATCACATTTTATCATCCGAATGCATGTATTAGTGATTAAGTCATATAAAGTTATTTTAACATTCGAGAGTTATTGATTACAAGATTTGTATGGTAAAAGTATGTATTAGTAATAATTTATTAATAAAAAAATAATTTTATAATAGAAACTCATGAAAAATACACAGCAGCAAAATTTGGCTTACGAAATAAATATATTTTCCAATGTTGATGAACTTCATTCGTTTTGCAAATGTATATATTTGTGTAATTTGTCAGGTAGAAATCAATATTTTAACACTAATATGTAAATATCTATTTTATTTTATTTTACTTCATAGAAAAATGATAAATTTAAATTATCTACATATTATATAAAATATAAGGATATAATTGAGAAAAAATGCGGGTAATATATTGAAATGTGAAATTAACAAATTAATTTTATTATCAAACATTTTACTTTAATTAATGAAATCGTAAAAGACATATTTTCGAATATTTTGGCCAAAATTCGATGTTTGATTTGAAGAAAGATATTTCACTTTAGATAGTTTTAAATCAGATCCACAGTTCTTTTTTTTTCTTTTTTTTTCTTTTTTTTTAATTCGGTGCTTATTTACTTTATTTTAGTTATTGTCAATTATTTTGAACGAATTTGATGCAAGGATTTTCATATGTTTTAAGTTCTCGTTAATTTATTCGAGTTCTGTCCTAGTTTTTTATTTTCGTTTGTAAGTCCTAAAATTTAAAATAGATGAAAGAAGCTGTTGAATATAAATAAGTGGTTGAAAAAAATGGTAAATCACACTAAATAAATAGAGCTTGCAATTAATAATTAAAGAAATTTCAATTAGAGAAAAATTTCATAAAATTTATTTTAATGTATTTTATCACATTGTACTTCTTAGAAAATGATTTAGTAAGTTAAAAGCAAACGAATAAAATATATTTTATTGGATTTATTAACTAACGTAAGATTTTTGACATACCAATAAGTTTTGATTTAAAAGTTATTTTTCTTTATTATACTCTTAATTCGTTTATATTATCGATGTTCTTTTTATCTTTTATTTTGTATTGAATTGGTTCGATTTTTAATATCGAGGATTAAGTTAGTTAGTTTGAATTGAAGTATCAAACCAAGTGAACAAGGACGGAAGGTTAAACTGAATCATAATAAGAAAATATCTAGTCGAGTCAACCTATTCGATTTTTTACTGAATTGAAGTAACAAAAATATTTTATGTAGAGACAGCATGAGAATTAAATGGGAAAAAAACTATAAAATATGCCCTTTATTTCCTTTTTATTGTGATAAAGTATTTTTATCTAAGTTTAATAAAAATCGAATGCGGGCTTATAACATAATATGTTAATTATTAGAAAACGATCAATTGAAGAATTGGATCATTGAGACACTTTGAAGTTATATGAAAAAATTCATTACTACTTCAATAATAACATTCTAAATGTGAAATAAAGTATTAAGTAGGGAAAAGTAAAAATGATGGTTCTACACGTATCCTTCGGTTTATAAAAGTGATCTTGTTTAATTTACTACGACACCATGCTAGTTGATCTGTCGTTATCCTTGACATGTTCAACACTCTCAAAACCAATTTCATGTCCACTTGAGAGAAAAAGTAAAGCACTTGATCTGCCTCATCTTCATGATGCTTTTGGAACTTCTTCAGAATGCAGCTTCCACTCCTCAAAATCTCTCTCAATCTCTTCTCTTTCTGCAAAAAATGCAATCTTTAAAGAACAAACTCGATTGCATTTCACATTAAGAAAGTGACTGTTGAAGCTTTAGTCAGTTACCTTTTGAAGATCTGTTCTAATCTCCACCAAAAGCTCTGAATTTGAAGGGTCTTGGAGCTGTACATGATTTTCTTTTAGACCTTTTAGAGCCAAGCTAGATGCATCTTTATCAGCTCTTATAAAACGCCAAATTGTTCTGATGGATTCTTCCAAAATCTCCACTAGCATGTCACTGGTGATTGCATCTTTATCTGCTTCTCTTTTACTGAATTTCCTTTTATCCTTGGCGTTGTCTTCTGCGTCCAAATAAGATTCTAAAACCATGAGGAACTTTTTTGTCTCATGTATGAAACTTTATATGGTCCCCCCACATAGGAAAGTGGACATGAAAAAGGTAACCACCATGTTCCATTTTGAATAAAGACACTAACGGAATTCACATTCTAATTTAAAAAAAAAAAAAGAACAGAAAATTCACCCCTTATTACTGGAACTTGAAGAAGATTGCGCATTGCACAACGATTCCTGGCATAGTTTTGAACTCGTGGACCATGGAGGAAAGGTTCATTCTCTATAAACCTTTGGAGAAGCACTTGGAATTGTTGAAATTCTCCTGCTACTTCGTTGAATCTTAGTAACCCGTATTGGTCAGATTCCCATAGCTTCAAGGCCTTCTCATATTCCCACTGAAGGAATTCCCAAGAAAGGCACAATTGCCCCACATAAACCATTTCCAAGTCACTGTATAATTCTACTACAAACTTCTTCATTGGGTCAGCTTCTATTTGTTTTCGTCTAGAAAGGCGAAAGCCGCGTGGAATAATGCTTGTGAATGCTGGTGAAGGGTTTTTACGGGTTGAAAATGATTGGAGTGGGTCCTTTGACTGCAAAACACCTACAATTTCCAAGAAACTTAAGGAATGTGCTATGACTATGATTGGAATCTTCTCTGTTAAGCGTAATGCAAAAGGTAATGAAGATTATAAAAGTATAACAACTTTCCCTGAGAATGCTTTCCTAACTAGTCTTGCATGGTAAGAGTTGTTTACAGAAAGAAATAAGAAACAAAAGGAGATAGAAACATTTCTTGGAGCATTACTGTCAGTGCTAGATCATTGTAGGGACTGGTTTCTTTTGGAAATTAGGAAAAAAGTTATCCACAATAAGAAAATGTCCAATTGTTAGGCAGAAAAATAGTAATTGCTTATTTAATGTTTATGAACCAATTAGATGTGATCATCTAGTTAAATGTAAAGGAGGTGGTAGCTTTTGGTAGCTTTATGCGAATCTGACATTGTTAAATACTTGATAGAGCTATTAGACAAGGAAAAGCTTAGTGTAGTTATTCACTCAACTGCTATATGTATTTGGGTAATTCATGATTTCCTAGTGCCCAGCTAACCAATTGAATGGGTCGTTACCTCTACTTTAATGATTTAGATGAGGTAGGTCTTGATGACCATCTAAATTAAATGAAATTGTTCATTCACTAAGCACACTAACTTTGAACAAACAAGTGAAGAGAAATTTTTTTAAAAAAAAAGGAAAAATAGCTGCAGAAAAGAAAATCAAAGTTCAGGTAACTGATGTAAAAAATACTGACCTATAGCATACATCTTTTGGTAATTCAAGATGTCGAATTTCCGCATTCGTTCTCTATAACTCCTGTAGAATTTTGGAAGCTCGTTTGTGGTGTTACCATGCTGTAATTTTTCATCAATTTTCCATGGCTTCAAGTCTTCCATTATCCTTGGAGACTCAGAATCCTCAAGGATGGTTGGCAGACCAGTGGCTCTGACCTTCTTCAGTTCCATCTTCAACTGATCTATCAAATCTTGATGTTCCCACAGTGTGTCAAACCGGTTGGAATCCTCAAGATCAATAGTTGTTAAAGTTTGTGAATGGGGCTCCATTGATTGCTGAAGCTTGGAATTGATATTTTTATCTTCAAAACTTTTTCCTGAAGACTCCTCTAGTCTGCATTCTTCTTCCAACTTTCCAAGCTCATCCATTACATCTTCATCCTCTTCGGTGAAATCATCAGGCTCATATCCAACATCCAAATTCTCATATATTTTCTCGTCCATATCCTCTTCTGTTAAAACTGCATTTTCTTCTGCATTGCTCTCCGGTGTCTCAAACTCCACAGTGTTTCCAAAATCTGTGTCCGACAAAAACCCCTCCCCCAAAGAACTGATAATAGAATCTGAGTTGGAACTTGAACAAATAGAATCATCTTCCGAAAGAAAATTGCGAACAATTGGCTCGACAGGATGCTCTATCGACTCCTCAGCTTTGAGTTTCTTTTCTGTGAAATTGTCGAGATTTTCTTCACTAACCCCTTCTTCACAATTTTCTGGCATAAAATTCTTCCTTAACAATAACCCAAAATCATATTTAACTTGATTTTCCAATTTAAAGGCTTCGTTTGAATGAACAAAACATTCTTTGACAGTGAAATTTCCAGCCTGAGGTTCATCCAAGAAGTGACTGAAACTCTTGCCTGACATGAACTCATACTTATTGGTGGTGCTGGCAGAAACAGCATCACCCCCCTTCACAAAATCACTACTTTCATCATACCCGTCCCTGAATTCGTCATCATAATTGTAATTCCACTTTTGGTATTCAAATTTGAAAACAAACTTTGTCGTTTCATCTTCTTCGGACCCAAAATTCTCACTGCCACGAAGAGTTTCAGAACAACGTTTTTCAATGGACTTTGTTCCTCCCTGGCAACCATCGGAATAATTTGGATCATTTTCACGTGAGAGAGCATCAGCCAGATACCCAAAATTTTCAGACTCAGAGTGAATTGACTCAGCTTGCTCATTGTCACAAGAAAACTGGGAAGAATAAAGCGGTTTCATTGCTCTAGAAGAATCAGAACAACAGAATCTGGAACCGAAAAAAAAGAAGAGATTAAATGAAATGGCCAATTGGTATATCAATTATTGAACCGTTGGTAGAATTCACATTCTAAAATTGAGAATACAATACCTCATGAAGACTTTGGTGAAGACCCAAAACAGAGTATTCAAAAGCCTAGAGAGAAATTTCTGAAAATATTCCGCAAAAGGATCCATTTCCGTTGAAGAAAACCTTTCACAGAATCCATAATCACATAAATGGAAGTGGGATTTTCACCCAAATCTCATTGAGGGGGTGAATTCATTCCACAAACGTGTTCATTCCTTTTGAAGCAAAACAGAGGAAATTAAAACAGGGGAAAGTCATGCAACTCTGATTTTAACTTTGAAAATTTGCACAGGAATGAGACTTTACACCCGCAGGGATAAAGATGTACGTGCAAACTCTGGAAGATGTTTTTCACATGCGAATCCGATTCAGCAGAGGGTGAAGTGTTACCTAATTATTCGGAAGGGAAAGAAAAAGGATGTGGAGAGAAAAGAACATGTCAGCGACCTGTGTTCTGAGTTGGGTTGCTTAGAACCTAGAATTCTGGTTCTGTATTGCCGTTGTTACCATGATTCTGGGTCTGTTTCTACTTCTCTTGATATGGTTTGGTTCAGAAGAGAATTCAAAGGTTGTGTCAAATTGAAAGTTTACGCCTCATTCTACTACAGAATGGAAAAACCAAACAATATATACTAGCGTTTGGGGTCTTACTCTCAGTAGTTTTCATGTTAATATAAGTTGTTTAGTGTATATTTTTATTTTGATTTCTGTAATATTTTCATTTTCATCTTTTCCAAATTTAAAATTATTGTTTTGTTTACGTGAAAAAGGAGAAAATTTTTCTCTTGTCTATCTACAACACCTTTTGCTTTCATATCTGAAAACAAACAAAATCAATATCGTAATTCTTAATGTTATTTAAGGTAAGTGGATAATTTTTATTCCTAAAGTTAAAATATCTTTTAAAGTTATTATATATTAACACATAATAATTTAACATTCTTCCATTAACAAACAATTAACGGGTGCTATGTCATAATAAAATAATAAATTTATTATTTTTACAGTACCAAAATTAAAATTATATCTGCTAGATAAATATATTTAATAGGTGAGAGAACATACGAATTTAATTTATATCATTTTAACTTTAATGCATAATAGAATTTTTGTATAGATATTTAGTCAAAATAACTTATTACATATAATCCATAAATTACTGTAAATTTGTCATATACATTTTAAAGATTTTATGTATGCGTTTGTGTATATACACACTAAATGTAATTGAAGGATATGGTTAGTATTTTAAATAAATTCAATTGATATTAAATGTCACTAAATGTGTTTTTTACTTCTAATATCTTGAGTGTTACGTTTGTGAATACAAAATGGTTTTTGACATTTATAAGGTATCCATAATTCTAACCACTTTTTATTGTTAGTGTAAACAGAATTGATGGAAGAGAAGTCAAAGAAGTGTGGCTAAGAAAATACGACCATAGTCGACATTGGTTATAGAATTGTACAATTCTCACTCTCTTATTTACGCAAAAAAATAGACCTAATTTTGACTTTCCAATGTATAATATATTTTTTGTGTGTGTTAAAAATAAATAAATTTCTCTTTGCACGAAACTTTGAAGAATATATATATATATATATATATAAATTAATAGTAGCAATAACTAGAAAATCATACAAAAAAAAAAAAAAAAAAAATTAAAATAAATTATAAAAAAGTAAAATTAAGAAATTAATCACTCAAAAATTAAATATAATAATAATGTAACTTTAACGTAAATTCCATTCAAATAAATTACTTTTAAACAATTTTTTATAAGGTTTAAGTATATAAAAACTATTATATAAAAAAATTGGTTAAAATAGTTCATGTATATAAAAACTATTAAATTTATTAATATAAATAAAAAATTTAGACATATAAAGATTTACATATATATTTATTAATTAAAAAAATTAAATAAATAACATTTTTATTTTAATTAATAAAAATATTTATAAAAATGTTAGAGTTGATTTAAATATAATTTCATAAATATTTAATAAAAGTATTTATGAAAAATAAATAAATTTTGTTCAAATTTAAGAAGAGACAATATTGCATAATTTTAACGAAAGTTAGAACTAAATTAAATAAGAAAAATCAACGTTAAATATGTTTTTCCGCTCTTAACTTTAAGTGAAATAAACTTTAAACTAATTTAGTTCTTCTTCTTTATAATTGTATGAATTTAATTTTTTTAACCAAATTTTTTTAAGTTTATTTGAAATTTTAAAAGCATTTTTCAATTAACATGGAAGGAAAAAATGTGTCAAACAGTGTAACAATTCAAATGCTATCATGAAATGCATACATTTTAAAGTAATAAAATTAATTAAAAGATTAAAATGCATAAATTTAAAGTTAATAAAATTTAATTAAAAAGATTAAATGCATACATTTTTAAAGTTGAAGGACTAAATTGGACCAAAATTTTAAAGAGTAACTAATTTTAATTTTAATTGAAAATTAAAAGATAAAAAAACATATTCATCACTAAAATTATATAGAAACTAAATTAAAACTTTATCATATTACAATGTCACATCATACTTTTACTGTGATGTCTAGACCTGTCAAATAAGCCCCAATCATAGGGATTAGCCCTAGTCCACAGGACTAAATAGCCCCAAAGCCCTTGGGGGGTGGTAGCCCGTGGGCTCTTTTTTTTACCAAATTTTTAAAAAGAAACACATCACCTAAATATTATTTTACTTTTAATGCCTCATTGGATGTGATGTATAGATACTGATTGTTGAGTTAACAATTTATTGCTAAATAATATACAACATTTTCTTTTAAATATTTAATAAAAAATCATATGTTGCTCATTTATCAATTTTGTGATTTAAAGAATAAAAAAAAAAAAGAAAAAACGAGATAAATGTTTGATTAAATGAATTGTAAAAAAAAATAAGGCCAAACATTTATAAAGCTTATGACTGAAGGATATATATCACTATCTCAATCAAAAATCAAAAATATATATATGTGTTTGAGTTTTTTTTTGAAAAAAAATTAAAAAGATCATTATTATCATAATTATAAAAATGAATATAAATAATTTTTATTAATTTTATAAATTATTTTTTGTTATAAATAATTATTTTAGTTTATTAAAATAGTAAGTTTTAGAAATAATTAAATAAATAATAATGTTTAATTTACAAAATATTACCAAGATAATTATTTTAATTAAATATATATTTAATAAGATAATAACGTTTAAGCTAATTTTAATTTATGAAAAACAATTACTTTTACTTTTATATATATATATATATATATATATATATATCTATATATATTTAT